ATATATATATATAATATATAAAAGTATACACACATATATATATATATATATATATATATATATATATAAAAGTATAATCCTAATAATATATATATATATATAAGTATAATCCTTTTGCGAAATATTTAATACTAACATTTTTATAATTAAACGTCATTTAATATACTAACAATTTCGATTTCGAGATAATCATTACTTGACGCAGATTCTATCCTAAGCAATACAGCGTCATTAACGCCGGTGACGAAACCAAAAGCCACAGTATCCCGCTTCATTTCCGGTCGACGATCAGGCGGAAAGGTATACGTGATAATTCCTCTTCCGGCTCCAAATTCGTAAGCGATAGCCTCTGCGAAAAGAAACATTTTGATGTTAAGATAACGTTTTGTCTAATAACATATTAAATTTTATGTTTGTTGCTACTGTTTCCGCTTCAATGTAATTATTTCTTTCTGTTGTGTGAATAAAACTAATTTTTGTTCTAACTTTAGTGCATTTCTGAGAATGTTAAGTTTCATCGATAACCACGATTAACTATTCGGGAAAATATTTACCCCCCGGCGAGAGAAATCGTTTCTATCCGAACTATAAACTAGTTTTACAACCCTATAATATTTATTATATTGCAAAATAATTTGATAACTGCAAACTTTGGTAACTTTATATAACGTTATTACGTGGTAAACTATACATGTATAGATTTTTGTAAATAAAATAGAAAAAGTTAGTTAAAAGTTAATTAATAATAAAAAGTAGTAACAAATAAATATAATAAAATATTACAAAGTAACTTAACTTAATTAAATTAATTTTTTATAGTAATAAAAAGAATAGCGTAGATGGATTATTTTTTTCTTCTCTCACGATACAAATATAAATACGAACGACTCTATATATTTCCCTTTTTCCCCGTTTCTTTACCGTCATTACAAGTCGGCCCGGTAAAACTCGTCATGTCGCAGTCGCATGTATAGCTATTCCACTGCTGCACGCATGTCCCATGATTGGCGCAGAGATCATGAGTGCACTTCTTGCCCGGATGCAAGTTGGTGTAAATGTCGCATCCGGATGTAATGAGAGAACTTGGCACGACGGCATCGGTAATGAGATCGGTGCTTTCCCGCTGAGATCTAGTGACGCTAGACATCCCTCGAATCCATGACGGCTGAGAATCTGCTTCGGTAATTGGCCGTATTGCGTCTTTTCCACACCACCTGAAATAAATGAGGTGTTAAATCATTTATCGACTTTTTTTGATCAAAAAATGAAAAAAAGAGAAAAAAGAAAACTCCTCTTTCCATCTTTCTCTTTTTTTTTCTTTTATTTAATACACGTTACTACGATTGTTTATCAGTACTTAAAAATGTTGTTTAGAATATAGAATAGTCTTTTAATCATGGCGGTTTTTCTCGAAGAAACAGGTGTTTAAATCATTCGCCCATCTGTTCGCATTGCGAGTTGCGACATATAAATTGTCGGAGATGGAATTGCCAAAACCCAGACGGGACAATGACGCGACGTAACATACCGAAATCGAAATTCGGTAGTTAAATCGAAATCATCTCTCTCGCAAACTCTCTCGTAGCCTTGCGATATCTGCGAGCCTCTCGACAATCGCGGATATCGCGGATGCTCGACGAACCGAGACGACCGCACGTCCGGTCGATCTCGCCGCCATAAATCCTGCGGGATCGCCGCCGGTCGAAAATTATTTCGACGGTCACACATTATATCCCGTATGACCGCATGCAGGAATTGCGAAACGCAACTGCGCGACCAATCGTATGCAGCATCAAAATCTCTCATCCAGTATGCTTAATATACTTAAAGAGATTTTAGATAAAACAAAACGCGCGGTACCACAATATCCCTTTTTTTCCGTTAAAATGGTCTCTGTCTAAAATGGTAAAATAAACCTTGAACTATTGAATTACCAAAAATAAATATCTCGAAATAGCGAAAATCAATCGGAGTAAAATTTCGACTGCAAACTTACGTGTCATGAATCAACATTATGATGCGCGAGCGTGGCTTCATAATCGCTATTGAAGAATAATTGATGACTGATTTGTCAATTTATGACGGTGACCGATAGATTTATTAATGAATTAAGCAACAGAAACGGTATGATATGGATCTAATTAATGATGATTCATAGCGCGCTACGCGTTTCGTACCATAACTGAATTTCGGATCGTTAGTCCAGATATACCTATAACTGATATCTGCTATTAATTAGAAATATAGAAATATCTACGCTTTATAAACGCTTATTTATCAATAGATATTATCGTTTACGTGTCGTTGACATTTTATATTTTAAAAATCAGATTATCTTCCTTATCAATATTATCTTTCGTGCAGCACATTCATCAAGAAATAGCAAAAAATCTTTTTTGTTATAATTGCGTCACTGTTTTTTTCGTAAGTATTAGCAAATAGTTATAGCTGAACAAGATATCTTAAATAATAGAATAAGTCTACAGATATTTATTACGGAGATAAAATCGACCAATTCTTTTACATGAATTATCTTGCATTATTTATTGTTTGAAAAGCCTCGCTTACACAACAGGGTAATAATCGTCGCATGACATCTCTTCGCGAAGTTTTCCTCTCTGCTGAAATCTTCGAGTTAATTGTATAATTGCATTCGAGGCACAAGGAATTTTGATGATAAATAATCTTCCGCGTCGCGTCGGCGATGAAAAATTAAACGGTCGAAATGGCGCGTCAACGTGACAGAGAAATTACGTCACGAGCAAATTCTATTTCTGCAAATAACGCGCGACAATCAATTAAGATCACTTGACCGCTAAGAATGCTAAAAAATCCATAGCAATTATATAAGTAAAGCATGAAAGATAATTCAATAATAATTTACGATTCCGCCGATAAGCAAAATATAAATATGACTTCATAAAATGAACAGAGATAAATTACAATTGCTCGATATATAGATATGTATGTCAGAGCAACAATATGCAGAGAATAAAGAATAAAATAAAATGTTTAGCGTCTACATAAGTAAACCAAAAGTTCCGAAAATCAGCGAGGCATCTAATTGAAAAACTGAAAAAAATGAATTAAAAAAATGAATTGAAAAACTGAAATGAAAAAAACTCAGCATTAACATTTCACATCAAGGCTAGGATTATCACCGAGGCATGCCCAGTGCAAATAATTGCCCTGAATAAGGCTACCTTATCGAATGCGAAACGATATGAGACGTGATATTTGTAATATTTCGTGTGACTCGCATAATCCAAGAAAATAAGAATGACATCAGTATTTTAAAAATATCTTTTTCCCACTTTAACCCACTCCCATTTCCATAACTTTAAACATATTCTGTTATATTAATATATATTTTAATTAAAAAAAAAATATATATATGTATATATATATTAATATATATTTATTAAAATATATATTAATTATTGAATTTTTTAGCTTGTTAAAATACTGCTGATTAGGTGGAGTTATTCAAGTTTAAAACAAAGTATTTTTATAATGAAAATGTGCCTTATATTTCTGGCTAATTTTTTCATATGTTATGCCAGCCTTCGATAATAAACCAGCGTACATAAAAAAAACTGAATTTACAAGCGCAAATTAAAAAGTTATTAAATAAAGAGATTATATTCGAGCACGTATTTCTACGAATAAAACTAGTCCAATCACGTTCTTATCAGTTGACTGTATCGTTTATCACATTTATGACGTGCTTGTCGAGGTGTCATTAAATCGCATTAATCATAGGCAGACCATCTACTCACGAATTTAATCTTACATTTGCGGGTGCGCTGCGGTCGAAGGCCGGATGTACGACTCGCTGAGTTAGTTAGAATCACGATCATTTTTGCGCTTCAAACAGTCGTCTATGCATCATCATCGAAAGTGCACGAACTCGTCAAACATTCGAATCGTCACTCGGGCTTGTCGGTCTAATCAACCTCCAAGAGCTAGGCGACGAGAATCGACGGAAATCAGTCGAACGCGCGAGATAGAAGATAATAGCGGTGGAGTTCGACGCTGTCCAATCGGCATAATTCGTAGAATCTCGGAGCTAATCACCGTTGCCATAACCGTTATATCTCGCTTTCGCGGAAATTCAATAATTATTATTTTCATATGTTATCGGTCGTTATGTCTGCCCGCGATCTCGTCTTTTGCGTCCTGCTAATTTCGATCGTTCGCTTCTCGACGACGTCGCTCATCCGTCCGCGAAATTTTTTGATCGTGCGACTCTCGCCGGAATCAGCGAGAAAATTAGAAGATATACCTGACCGATGGAGAAGAGTGCATCCGGAGTTTCGAGCGCCGCAAATTGAGATCCGCCTGATGAAGGGTTACGTCTCGCCGAACGAGAATTGGATGTTCAGCAACGAGTACAAATATTCGGGCAAAGATTACGAGTATGTATAGACGAAAAAAGAATGCGTGTCTAAATTATATATGCTTGTTTAAAAGGAGAAGATCGAGACGATTTAGTTTTCAAATTAACTCTTCGTTCTTTAATATACGATAAACAAGTATGCGGATATCTAAATGTTTATTAAGTTATTAAGTTTCGCAAAATAATGCATCGTTTACAAAATGAGTTACATAACGTGAATGAGTCATATAAGAAATTTTTTAATCATATATATACCTGTCAAACATAGTTCTAAATATATATATATATATATATGTATATATATATTTAGAACTATGTTTGACAGATTAATAATTTTAAATGTCTGTGAGACCTATCTCACCTATGAAAGGTTAAAGTAATTGATTAAAAAGTAAGTGACAGAAATCAAATTAAAGAAAATGTAATTTCAACTTCATCGATCAATAATGCACGACACATGTTCGATTCGAAAATGTTATAATTGAAAAATATTAACGATAGCGAGTGTGCATCCAAACGTTGCTAATGCTATGGATAATCTTATACGATCGTAAATCGTTTATTAATAGCACGGAAAAGGTGACATCGACGACAGATGAGAAGAAAATCTCACAAATTGAGAATGACGATATGGAAGCAAGAGAAGAAGAAAAAGAGAATGGTGATCCAGATAATATCGTGATGCCTGATAGATTTATCCCGCAGATTGACTCTAGGAATATTATTACAGCGCCTGAATATTGTCCGAAGGGAAAAAGACCAGATAGTAGAGGACGTTGTAGACTTGTTATGTGAGTCTCTTCTTTTTTTTGCGTAATTTTTAATTTAACAAGTCTAATATCTTCGTAATTAAAAATGTAAATATTAAATACTTATCACAAATATTGTTAAATTAATAAATATTGTTAAATTCTTTAAGTCTAAATAAGACAGGAATTTATTAATATTAACGTTATAATTAAAAGTTTCAGGATACTTTAGTATGATAATTATTAAATGGCTATTAATTTATGGAATATGATCACTGAATTTCTGATACACATATTTTTATATATATATATATACTACCCCCCCACACACACACACACAACTAAAAGTTTAATAATTTATTTTATGTTTCTGTTATAGAACGTGAAAAAAAGAAACGGAGAAAAGAAAACGAAACAGGAAACACTTAAATAATTAGATCTCTCCAGACCAACATTGATTTTATATAAAATTCTAAAGTACTGAAAATGTATAAATTATTACTTAGCCATTATTATTAATAAAATTAATAAAATGTTATATTAAATTTGTATATTTTTTTATGTATTTATATTCAAATATATTACTATCGTTTATTAAATATGAATCTAGTTCATAGATTATTACTTAGAAGTTTTATGAATATATTAGAAAGAGATTAAAAATAAGTTTTGATTAAAATTTGTGTCAAAATTTATCATGCGAAGTTTCACTTTTAATTTGTGAGATAAATTCTATATAATTCTATAATCAATATAAAATTTTATTCTATAGATATTTTTTAAGTATTATAAATTTTATGTATTGTGCGAGAGAATTGAATCGTGATACATATGGAACATATAGAAATATCTTAATAATGAAAGAAAGACAAAAATAACTTAAACATTTTTAGAGATTGATTTAAGAATCTCGCCTTTATCAACAGTCTTATCACTCAACAAATTTTGCGATAAATACGGTGAGCTAAATGAGGATGCGGTTATAATAATTCATTAAACTAATTAAGAAACCAATACATAAATGACATATTTAACTTATACAATAAACGGATTGCAGATGTAAATCACGACTGACTAATTAAATTAAATTAATATCGCGTACATGCTGTTATTTTATTGTGGTAATATCTCGAATGAAATTGTCGAATAGAATCCTGATTAATTGTATTACCGCGCGTAATATAACGGGTGAATTAAACAAAAGAAGTATGATGTTTAACTTATCATAAAAACTTATTATTAACTTATCATTGAACATTGTATAAGAATAAATTAATAATATTAGAAAATATCCTACGAAATGTTTACAATTATTCAAATTATATAAAACTTTTTTTAACTTTTTAACTTTTTTAGATTAATTTAATAAAAATTTAAGAAAAATATCCTTTATGTGCAGCAAGTAAATGTTTGAGTTAAATTATATATTCTATTCCTCCTCTTCCCACTTACCTATGTACAAAATGCCATCGAGATCAAGATTCTCGTTGCTGCCCTGACTGTTGACGGCGGTCACGTGGTCATCTACAGCGAGAGTGTGTCTCTTTGATGCAGGTCTACCGATACTGACGGCATGCCATTTGCCATCGTTCAACTTGGACTTCGAAGTGTCCCTGACCCTAACAGCACCATCGCCTAGGTCAAACACGTAATGAACGTGTCCGTTTACCAATTCGACCGCAATGAAATCATGCTCCCTTCCGGCATTATAAAGGATCAAGCCGTTTGCCTCGCGTGTTTTGAACTGAAAAATAATTTACACATGTAAGGTGACGAGTTCTCTCTGCAATTCAAATTACATTCTTTTCACAATTGACAATAAAACCTTTGACCATTAAATGCGGAAAAACATGCAATCTCTCTTATGATTTGACTCTTTAATTATCGTGATGCAAGATGCAATTGTATTTTTAAAAAACTCACACACCTTCTTCATTTTATTATTAATTAATTTTTCTTAGAGACGTAAATGTAAGTATTAATGTAAAGGTAAAGAGTAAACATTTAGAGTAATTAAAAAAACAAATATTTAGAAGATTTTACATGTATATTTTCACATTTGTATATTTTTTGTACATTTCCTAATTTAATATTTTATAATTTATGTTTTATATAATTAATAAACATTCTGGTTGATTAAAATTTCATCAAAAATTGAAAAAAGTAATATGAAGATGGAATCTCGCGGTTTTTATATTCTGCATGACTCAATAGAATTGTGTTTAGAAAGAAAAATATTAATTTTCACCTGGAAATAGATGTTAGTCTCCACGTACGCCTTGAGCACCGGAAGACCTACGAAGGTGTGTTTGGAGGTAAAGGTCACCGGATGGTGAACTGGATGATTCCTCTTTCCAAATTTGCCGGTAACCCGAATGATGGGCGTGACACCCTGATGCGAGGCTTGATGGCTCCCAGCGCTGCGCGCAATCTCCAAGTATGGATATCCATTGAACCAGATCTGCTGCAATTGACCCACGAAATGCGGTATGTCCTCACCTGCGTGAAGATATCCGCCTACGTGGAGAGTGCGGAATTCCAAGATGCTCTGCTTTCCCAGTTGCGTCTCCGCTACATTCGTCACAAAGTCATTAGTCATTGTCAATTAAAGCGTTAAAATGTGAAAAGTAAGTTTAAATGGCAAATATTGAAATTTGGAGAACAATTACAATTTTATCACTTCTAAATCTAAATTTCCTAAAGGAAAATAAATCAATTGAAAAAAAACTATGTGCGTTCTGCATTTAATTTATATTTAATTTTTTTATTATTTCTTATTTATTATTTATACTCTGATATTAAAAATATTAAAATAAAGAATTATGTTGAACATATTTTATATAATTATATCTTTTATTTTAACAAATTGACAAAGATAGAGGTCGCTAATTGAACTTTACAAAGATTCGCAAATTCACAAAACTTTAGTGTTTAAACGCGTTGAACTATGCCAGGCTTAAGACAGGAACCGCATGTGTTTCGCTGTGCAGCAATTATCGTTCCAGCGCGATCGATTGCACCGAAGTAAAGGCCGTGGTACAGGGCTACTGCAATTTAGGCTATTGCCACCTAACTCAATATTGCCGGCACTCGCCGTCAGTTTAATAGGGTGATCCGAGGGACAGCTTTGCGAGGGTGGCTGTTTCACGGTGGCTGTTTCACCCTTCCCCATCCCGGTGCGGTGAGGTTGTTTTGTAGGGGCCGATTGGGGCCAGGCTGATTGGTTAGCCAATCACGTGCGGTTCACATTATCGATATTAATAAGATACGACCGGGATGTACCGCTCGACTGCATCAGCGTTCCTATATAGAAGTGTCACTAATTGCTTCGTTTATCTTATATTATCTTTCACATAAATGTGCAAATTATAGAGAATATCCAAAGTGGAATCATGGCCGTAACGTTGGTTCCTTTGAACCAACGATACGGCCGCCCTACGTCAATTTATGCGCGATGGCGTTAATGATCGGCCAACACGGCGATCGTAATATTGGTATTAAATTAAAGATGCGGATGCTGTAACGGCACTCTCGAGCGGATAATATCGGTGTTAAAAATGTCGAATATCGCAAGGACTATAGCAAGATCCGAGAGCCGATATATCGATATGTTGTTTGCTCGTCCCTGTCGTGTTCATCGCTCGCTAATCGCGGAATTTGCGCGCGACGAGAGAGTCACGAGGGAATTTCTGGGAACCGCGCCGTTTACCGTTGATGGAATCGCGCGGGGATATAATTTACTTTATACTTGAAACGCCGCTTTCGCGACGGAGTGCCGCGAATGCCGCAGACGTCGACCTCCCCATCGCCGATTCCGGATGCACTTTTCTCGTTGCGCAGCAACGGCGGCGGCGTGAAGAGCATTTCGAGGAGCCAGTTTGATAAAAAGCGCATTTGCATGCCCGCGATTTGTAATCCGTCCGTTGGATGTCGGAAAATCGATGGCACTGACTCGTAAATAATACGGCCAACGAATCGGCGTAAACAGAGAAAAATCGACGCTCTCGGAAGTGAAACGTGCGCGCGTGCGATCGAAGGGAATTCTCTCCCTCGAGAGGGATCCTCTTCGGGGGAAAGAAAACGCGTGCTTCCGCAGATATTGATCATACTCGATCATACTCGATGTAGTGGAAAATATATCCAAAAATGTAAAATAAAATAAAATTTTGCAGAAAAAGCATCACTTTTTCACGCTTCGCTGTAAAAGTATCAACGTTCGGGAACGCTTCTACGTCTCGTTTGTCCATAAAATGTCTTTTCATCCCTGTAAAGCTGCTTTATACCTTATTCATTATACTTTATCGCTTGATCGCCTCTGGGACGTGCTCGCTTATGTTCGATAGATTCTTCAGCTTCGTCACTGAAAATATCTTTATCATTTACAAACGGAATTTTACTGCCGATGTATTTTTCACGATTGACACACCGAACTGGTGCAATAACGAGCCTGCAGCCTTGGAAAATCTTCGATTAACATTCATAAGAGTGTCTCGATTCGAAAAGTCGCCGACGGAATGCAAAAGCGGACGCGTTATGCGATGCATTTTGAATTTGTGATCGCAGGAGAGTAGAAAGAAGAAGAGAGAGAGAGAGAGAGAGAGAGAGAGGGGGGGGAGAGAACCCGCGGGAAACTTGTAATTTATCCAGTGGAGGAGATGCGATCGGAAAAGAAAGTTTTAAGTTCTCTATCAAAATTAACGCGTTAATTGCAATATAGTAATTCTTAACTTGATTGATTATGGACAAAACAGTGCAATTTTTCAAATTGTCTCTTAAATTAATCAGACACGTAATACAGACAAAGGGGACTATTTATTAATCAATTATTTATATTATATTAATTACGTACTCTTATTTGCATACGCGAGAGACTGTATAATTAATTATTTATTATAATTATATATTAATTCGTTCGGTACGATTGTGCACTGAAATTATAAATATATAACATAAATGTTGCCCAAAAAAATATGATTCGATGATTATCTTTGTTCAATAGACTTTAAGCAATGAATTTTTTTATTGTTAAATAATCTATTCACTTTATATATTTGTCATTTAAAATTTAAATACATATTCAGAACGTGGTCGATTATTATTCATAATTGATTATTGAGTAATTCAATAATTAATGTAAATTTTTGTAAATAGAAAACAAATGAATTATTTGAAAAATAAAAGTTTGCGTAAATTTATTTAAACAAATAGAAATATATATGTATGAAGAAAAATATAAATATATATGTTTGATAAATGTGTATATTTTTATATATTTCTCTCTGTCTCCTTTTTCTCTTTTTATTTAAACGACATTAATCTTCTTAAGTTTCGTAATATTGCCTATATCGGCAATTTAAAGTGTCAGATAAGCCGTAATGTATGCCTCAAGTTTTTAGTTTCAGGAAACTAGTATTTTGCAACAAACCAGCAGTTTCTAATTCGCCATTTGTCCCATTTACACAACTTACGAAACGAGTACGATGAGAGGGGTCTCGAAACTTGCGTGAAAAATTGCCCGAGAAATTTTTAATTTCGTACGCCCGCTCGTCGATCTTACTAAACTTTCTTGGCGATGTTCATTAATTATTCAAACCCATGGAGTGGCCAAACTGACGCAATTACTTGTCTTGTAGCCTGATGAGTCGCTCAAAGAAATTCCCTATTTATATTTATTATTTATATTTAAAAAAAAAATACTCGTGAAATTAAAATTTTATGTAAGCATACTTTAAGAATGTACGAAAGAAAATACTTATCAGCATCAAATACAAAAAATATATATAATAATTCACATACGAAATGTCACAAGCTCATTTAATAGAAGTCAATTAAAAATAGCAACACAATTCTTCTTTAATACTTTCAAATTTTCCAGGTGCTTCGTCTTGAAAAGTTTATTATATTTATGGATACGAAATGACTGGCTCTTGCGATGAAAAAATTTTAATAATTAATATATAATAGTTATATATAATATAATAGTTAATAATTTGCGCGCGAATCTTTTTGCACTTTTCGAAGCGAGCGAAAAATTTGTAAAATTGTCACACCCAATGGCTCACTCGATCATCGCCAACGGCGGCACACCGAAAACGGCGGGACGATTTAGTTCCGAAATCCTCACAGTGCCAATTTCCCCGACTCGTCGATCCGACAAATAACAACACTAATATCGGGCACGGGCGAGCGGTCGCGCGGCGGACGATGATCGAGAGAAGGCGGAAAATTATTTTCCGCGCGAGAGAGCGTCGTTCCTGTGCGAGGCCACGACCGCGTCGTACGGCGCTCGCATAAATCTTGGTAGACCGAATGATCCCGCCGCGGTGAATCCACCGACTGATAAATCTCGATGTGGAAATTGATTATCGGAAGGGAATTCTCCATAGCGACTCCATCCACCCCTCGTGTACACCTGTATTTATACGCCCGGGGCAATTTGGTCGTACGGTGCAGTTAATCCTTACCCTCTTTCTCTCTCTCTCTC